AATCATAGACACCATTGCTACCATTAAATCCATACTAATATTAATCTAAAAATAGATAAAATTCAATAAATTAAATTAAATGACAAAAGGTTTGAAATTAAACCTCTATTAAGCATATATGGTGGAGGAGGAGGCTTTTTTACAGCATTACAGAGTGCGTCGGAGTGCGGCGGCGGAGTGCGTCAGAGGGCGGGCGTCCTGCGGCGTTCCTGTTCCAAGCGCTGGTGAGAGGGCGGGCGAGGCGGCTGGCAGGTGGAACGCACGGCTCGACTGCCGCCTCGACCAACTGAGCAACCCGTGCGGGTATGATTCAATCATCTCTCGTTTGTTACTACTACACCCTTTTCTAATAACTCTCTTATGGTATCATATTGTTTTTGTCGGAATACGTCCTTTATTTTACAAGAGGATCCCGACATTTTAGTAACATAACCATGGAGAAATATCCAAAGAAAGCCACAAACTTCTTTTTCTGTATAATAGCCACAACAACTAATTTTAATTAAAAAAACACTATAAATATATATTGTATATGGAATTTCATTTAAGATAGTCTTAAATCCATTAAGCTCACCACACATATTAGAAGTCTCGTTATATCATTCACTACTAGAAAAAATCACATTTGTTGCGGTTTTTTTGGGCATTTGCTGCGTTTCCGAACTGCATCAATTAAGGGGGCAGCGATTGTATGAATTCACATTTGCTGCGGTTCAGAACCGCGGCAAATAGATCAGTGTTTTTATTATTGTTATTGCTGCGGGTATATCGGAACTGCAGCAGATAGTTGAATATTTTTCAACTTATTTGCTGTGTGTAAGTAGAACCGCAGCAAATGTGAATATTTAAATGTGAGCATTGCACCCAAATTTCCTTTAATACCAAAAAATGCACAACTAATATCCATTGTCCCAAAATAGACCCTGTCCATATCAAATTCACAAGTCTTTCATATCATTTAACGAAGTGCCAATAATGCTACTTGTTGAGAACAAAAATCACCAAACAAATCCAATACGATCATTTTTCATCATTTTCATTTACCCCAGTGCCGCAAAGGCTCCCACCTACGGTGGGGTAAGGGGGGGTCGGATGTACGCAGTCTTACCCCTATACTAAAGCACAGAGAGACTGTTTCCGGATGACCCATAGTGAAAATCGCGTCCAAAATTGCATGGACTGACTGCTGCTTCATTACAAAGAAGCGCAGACAGTTTACTGAGCCATTTTGCTTTATTCCATCATAATCTCAAGCCAAAAAATAATGAATCTTTGGCTCCAATACGATAAAAAGTTTAATTAAAAAATACTTGCATTACATGTTTAGCTATTATAAAGTTTACAAAATGTTATCACAAACATAGATAGCCCATACGTCTCAAGCATAGTTTCCTCCTTGTGGAACTGATGGTCTCCCATCAACGGGATCAATAGGATGGTCTTCGGGTTTGCTAGGATCAAATCTCTTTGGGATTAATTCAGTGTCTTTTGATGACACCGAGTCTACAGCCACGGGTTGATCCGGAGCAAACTGGTCATGACTTCCGGTTGCTGTTCTTGATTCTGGCTTACCAACTTCCATCTTCTCAAATGACTGTGATGGAGTATATGGCCCAGGAACCCCCGGTCCATAGACTCCCACTATTCGAATACAGACCCAACAGGCCTAGGAAGCACAGCAGGCCCAAGTCACTGCGCCCCAAGACACAGGATGCCCACGCAGCCCACGCAGCCGCCTTCGGTCCCCTGGCCGAAGGCCTCAAAATCTCACAGAACAACCGTTTTAGGTTTACGAAGCTGTTGGGAGAAAAGGCAAAAACAGTAGCCCTCGACACCTAGAGCCCTCGGCACCCGAAGGGCCCCGGGTTGAAGAGCCCTCGGCTAATCATATACAGCCGAAGGCACCTCTCTCGACAGAATCTCTCATCCACATGCGCTGGATCAACGTACCAAGTACAGACGTCACATCCAACCACCGCATTTAATGCGGCCACATGCGAGTGCCAGTGACACCCCGTTGAGGTGTATTCCTTCTTTAGTGGATGATACAGATAATAACTTCCTTATTAAGCTTCCTGAAGCAGATGAAATAAAAGAAGCAGTTTGGGCCCTTAATCAAAATGGGGCAACTGGTCGTGATGGTTATAATGGCATGTTTTTTAAAAAATGTTGGCATATAGTAGGAAGTGATGTGGTTAATGCAGTTCAAGACTTTTTCATTGGGGCTCCTATACCTAAAGGGCTATCCAGTTCACTTTTTGTACTTATTACCAAGAAAGAAAATCTTGGTTCTTTTGCTGAGTTTAGACCTATATGTCTTTCCAGTTTTGTCAACAAAGTTTGTACCAAGATTCTTGCTAATAGATTGGCTAATATACTTCCCAAATTAATATCCAATGAGCAAGCTGGTTTTATAAAAGGGAAAGACATTGCTGATCAGATACTTATTGGCCATGAAATGATTCATGCGATTGACAAGAAAATAAGGGGCTCTAATGTGGTTATTAAACTGGACACGGCTAAGGCTTTTGACAGGCTATCTTGGAGTTTTCTGTCAAAGGTGCTCCAAAAATTTGGTTTTGATATGAAGTTCACTTAGGTTGTTTTAAACAATTTGAAGGCAACTTATCTTTCTATCCTTATTAATGGCAGTCTACATGGTTTTTTTAAACCTTTGAGATGTGTAAAACAGGTAGATCCTCTTTCCCATCTTCTTTTTATTCTTGCCTCTGAGGCATTTTCGAGAGGTCTGAATTGGCAGGTGTCTAAAGGGCTGATTCAGCCATACTGGTTGGGCAGATTTGACATTCCTATTACTCATTTAAGCTATGCGGATGATCTACTCATTTTTATTAATGGAAGCTTCAGATCTATTCTCAACTTTAAGAAGTTTCTTACATTGTATCAAGAGGCATCTGGACAGGCAGTTAATTTTGAGAAGAGTTCTTTTGTGTGTGGAAAACATGCTAGAGTCAGAAGCCAAATTATCAAAGATTTGCTATGAATGCAGAAAGGTACATTACCTTTGAAGTATTTGGGAGCTACTCTACACAAAGGGATCAACAGACATCAGTATTATCATCATATTATTCAGCAATTTGATTCTAAGTTATCTACTTGGAAACAAAAAAATTTGACCCAAGGTGGGAGACTTACACTGATCAAACATGTACTGGGGTCTATTCCCATGCATCTGTTAGCTGTTGATAACCTGCCACAGAGAATCAAGACTATATTAAACAAGAAAATGGCCAATTTCTTTTGGGGCACATCAAAAGACAAGCCAAAATACCATTGGTTAAGATGGTCTAAGATGTGTTATCCTAAAGAGGAAGGGGGGATTGATATTTGATCTTTAAGTGATATTGAGAAAGCTTTTACTTTAAAGCTCTGGTGGAAATGGAAATCTTCAGCTAGCTTTTGGTCTCACTTTATGAAAAACAAATACCCTAGAGGTGAAGATATGAGACCAAAATCTACTGACTCACCTATATGGAGAAGGTTATGTTTCATCAATGAGTTCACTGAATCTTTGGTTGATTCCAATAATCAACAATTAATCTGGAAACACTCTAAAGATGGCCAATTTTGCTTCAAATCTGCATATAACATCAGTATACACTATCAGGGGGCTGCTTTCTCATATAAACATATTTGGAACCCAAAACGACAACTTAAGATAAAACTATTTCCAATGAAAGCTTTTTAAAGGTTTACTGCCAATTTCTGACAATCTCAACAGATTTCAAGTTGTCATACAGCCTTCTATCTGCCCTTTTTGTAGAAGGTATGGGGATTTTACTAATCATATATTCTTGGGATGTTCTTATTCTAGAGAAATTTGGGCCTACTTTATTCAGATTTTGGATATTCCTATTTCAATCAATATTCCTACGATCAGGCACATGTTCTTTATGTGGTGGTTAGAGGCTGGTAACAAAACCCTAATTGATGTTTTCAGACACAATCTGCCAGGGATTATAAGTTGGCATATTTGGAAGATATATAAAGATCTGATTTGGGGATTTCTACAAATTGTACCTACGGTTACCAACTTACTTTGGCAGATTAAATTATATAGTCAAAATTGGATTATGAGTATAAGTCAAACGAAGGTTAGAACTATCTACAAGATTCTTTATGTATGTCCTGGATACTTCGATGTCAGACCCCAACGAGCAACCAACCACTACACCTCCTCCCACAGCTATCGTCCCTTTGTAGAGAAAGAACGAGAGAGAAGTAACGCTTACCTGGTGGTAGAGGACTTCAGGTGAGCCTGTTGAAGAGTTCCGATCAAATCTTTGTCCAGAAAAGTGGTGCGACGCGCTGGACTTGTGGTGGCGTGTGTAGCACGCTCGCCTTGCAGTTGGGTGTCGGATTTCGGCTGATGGATCATCTGAGGTAGGCGCACATCCAGAGTATGGCCGTGACTCGAATTCCGGCCTGAAGAATCCGGGGCTATAAAGCTACCTGAACTGAGTTTCTGAAAAATTAGCAGCTAATTGATTTTTTGGAAAGTAGCAGCTAATTGATTTTCTGGATCAAGAATCTGGTTCTAGGGTCTTTTGATGTTCTGGAATAAGAGTCTAGATAGAGGTTCTGTAGACATAAGGATGTGTAAGGTTCTAGAGTTTACTCACGTTCTGGGAAGGGTAGGAGGTTCTAATGGTTCTGGACTGAAGTTAGCTTTTGGAGAAAGAACCTAATATGGAAACTAAACTGAGGTATGAATGACTAAATTGAAATTTGAAAACTAAATTGAAATGGATGACTCTGATATCATGTTAAAGTATAAACTAAAATGATATTAAACATAGAGAGAAGGATTTTCTGTGTATTTCATTGAAGAATTAAGATCCTATAAACCTAGATTACAATGATAGAATATTCCTATATAAGATGCTATACAATAATAATATCTAGGGTATATTACTAATATATTCTAAAACATATTTTAATATATTTGGGGGAACATACTTATCTGAATTTCATTTGTAAAAAAAGTGAAAAAAATCTTCAATGGAATATGAGCGTGGCTGTACATCTGCATTGCCAGTCGGCAAGATGTCTTCTTATCATGGTGTATTACCAATTATAGAAACTTCTACATTCTGCACCACCACACTACTCTAGAATCTTCCGGATCGAACTAAACCCCCACATACCTGCTTGCTTTCGAATCTTCATTTCTTCCATTTAATAATTCAACCATCGCAATTCGTCTTCCCCGAGAAGCAAATTGAAGAACTTATTAACCTCTGCGCGATTCAGTAAGTGAACGTATCACCATTAGCTGCCGATTTCAGACACGCATTGTCTCGAACGCTTCGCAAATGGCAGAGGACGGCACCGTCACGCTGTACAGCGGATGCGCGATCACCGATGCGAAGAAGAATTCTCTGTCTATCAAGATCGGAATCGCCCAAATGCTCCGCGGCGGAGCCATTGTGGAGGTCAGCACCGTCGACCAGGCCAGAACCGCCGAGTCAGCCGGAGCTTGCTGCGTAATCGTCTCTGAACCGCTTTCTAGCGGTATTTCGCGGATGCCAGATCCAGCAATCATCAAGGAGATCAAAAGAGCCGTCTCTATTCCAGTAATGGCGAAGTCCAGGGTCGGGCATTTCGTGGAAGCGCAGATTCTTGAGACTGTCGGGGTAGACTACATCGATGAGAGCGAGCTCTTAGCCGTCACGGACGAAGATCATTTCATCAACAAGCACAATTTTAGAGTCCCGTTTGTCTGTGGCTCTCGAGATCTCGGGGAGGCTTTGAGGCGAGTGAGAGAAGGGGCGGCCATGATCAGAACTCAAGGTGAACTCACAGGTTCAGGAAACATTGTGGAGACAGTCAGGAACGTGAGGAAAGTGATGGGAGACATTCGAGTGCTAAACAACATGGATGAAGATGAGGTTTTCGCCTTCTCTAAGAAGATCTCTGCTCCTTATGACATCGTTGCCCAGACAAAGCAAATGTCTAGGCTTCCAGTTGTCCATTTCGCTTCCGGGGGGATCTCCACCCCTGCTGATGCTGCACTTATGATGCAGCTGGGTTGTGATGGAGTCTTTCTGGGTCAAGAGGTCTTCAATTGCTTTGACCCTTACAAGAAACTCAGAGCAATCGTGCACGCCGTGAGGAACTATAATGATCCACACGTTCTGGCCCAGGCCAGCAGTGGCTTAGAGGATGCTACGGACAGGCTAAACCTTGTCAGAGCAGGCTCGAACAATTAAGTACTGAGTACCCCTACTTTACTGTGTTTCTTTTCTGTGTAGAGTCTGTCTTCCTGATAACTTCTTTACCCTTGCAATGAAATAATACCAGTGTCTATCATATGTCTGTATGCTTGCTTATACATGTCTCTGGTTTCATGACCTAAAAATTTGCACTTCTCGTTTTAGTCATAAACTGTGATCATTTCTATACAAACCTGCTTTGATATGAGCAACATTCACGGTGTTTTCCACTTTAATCATTTAATATTTTGTGAACTATACTTTTGGTTCTTGAATTATTCCACTTTATAAAGAAATGTTTTTTTACTTCTATTCCACTTTTGCTCATCTCCAACTATTGTATCCTCCTACTATGGCAACCAAAATTCAAAGACTAATAGTATCAAAAGTGTCATGGTCATATTAAAGGTAGATGAGTAAAAGATGAACACATAAAGATGGATACCCACAAGTTTTACTTATTTTGTTCGATTTAGGTCCAATTTAATTTGATTTGGGACTTGTTTCATGATGGTTTGCCATATGCTCACCTACTTGATGGTTTGGGGCAACATGCGCAGAATGGGTTTTGACTTTAGTTATCCATCTCTTCAGTTTTACATAGTATAGAGTAAATCTCACATCTAGAGATGTTTTGGCGTGGGTGAAATCCAATCTGGGAATACCAGTTTCCAATTCTGGCCCATTATTACATATCAATAGTTGTCAAGCTCTAATGTCTAGCAAGCAATGAAGAATGTGTTAAAGAACTTCTACTTACAAAACTCTTCTTCCCTCTACGCCTAATACAGATCTAATCATAATGCACAACAAACATTGCGGCAAATCTAATCCACTGTGTTGTTTGCGTAGATTTTTGGATGAGTGTTGTTGTTGTTGTTAGAGATGCATCTTAGAGCAGTTTCATAGGCTGTAAATACAGCACCATTCACTATGAATGCTCTGGTGACGGCAGTTCCCAGGCCCCGCCAGAGCACCATGTGCCCCTCTTGTTTCACGATCTTCCTGAAGCAATCCACAATGCCATTGTATCTTAGTGGCTCTGATTGGGCCTGGAGCCTGGTTTTGACCACGTCAAGCGGATAACAGCTTATCCAGCTCACAACTCCCGCAACCCCTCCTGCAACAAGCATGGTCTTGAATGTTTCTTGACCGTTCATTCTGCAACCGGGGTGGAGCTTCTCCCTCATGTATTCGTACGTGCAGAAATACCAGCCATGAGCAGGTGCATCTCTTAGAACTGTGACAGTTAATCCGCGGTATATTCCTTTCCAGCCTTCTTTCCTGAATATTTTCTTTGCAACATCTACTGGACCTTTATGAGTGAGCGTTGGAGTGTTTGTTTTCTTCTGCAACTGTAGGCGGATTTTCACCAGCTCAACAGGGCTGAGGATTAGGCTCTGAATGGCTCCTGTTCCGACTCCGCCGAATGCAACTCCTTTGTATGAGGGCGGACTGCTGGCTGGAATGTCATTATCAAATGCCCTCGATAGTACTGCATATATTTGGAACACCATCGCATTCTGCAGTTTTCAAAGAAGACTCAAATTTGTCACATTAGTTCAAGTATTTCTTTAAAAGTTAGATTAGTACATTTCAGTGGGGTTTTGCCAAATTTAGCTGCTTCAGTTAAATCATCTTGATTTTATCCTTGCCAAAACAGGCTCTTCATTTCAAATTTTCAAAATGTCATTTGCATTTCACATACCTCACTGCAATGTACTTTTCATTTGGGGACAAAACATAGTTTTACTTTATGAATATGGGAAGCTTAAACTTTAGCATCATTATTATCTCAGTATCCAATTGCAGGAATGCAGCAAAGATGCACCTCTTTTTATTTTTTAAATGAGCTGCGAGATGATTTGGCAAAACCAGAACAAGCTATTTTTTTTACTATGACAAAATGAGGACTAAAATGAAAGGAAATAACTTATATTTTTTTTAAAATACTTTGTACAGGATTCAAATTATTAAACCAAAACGTATCTCATACTCTCACCGCTGTGAAATTCTCATTTTTGAAAACGATGCCTATATAGCATTATGTCAACTTTAAATCATAGCCAAAAGTTCCCTTTTAAACACAAGTTTAACAAGGTATATGCATTGCAAAATCACTCAAATAAACTCTAATTTGATTTCAATTAGAGGGAGTATCAAATGGATGACCAAGATTTGGAGAACCACTGGGCACTGGAATTCTATTGAAAGTAAAAGCTTAACATAACAAACTGTAATTTCACTTGAATCTTCACGGTAACTCTCTTTACATTCTTCCATCTTAATGATTCAATTAAGTATGTTATTTTATCTAATAGCCGTAAGAAATGTTTAGCCAAACAACTAAACAAATGCTTGAAATTGATAACTTAATACTTTTTGTTATCGACTTTGAAATTTAGGGCTAAAATAGGAAGGATCCCTATAGTAGTCAGCTTGAAAGTTGATATATGACATTATGATGCATTTAAATGTAGGGTAATAAACGCACATTCAAATAGTAAAGTAGTCCAACATATTTAAACAAATATTAGCATCCTCCGTAAGAATTAAATACCGAGTAAGAAAATATCAATATGGTCGTGGATGAAATATGTTCTTTTTTTGTTTAAAAGGGAAAAAGAATGGTTGTTTAGTGTCTTTTTCTGTCTGAACTGAAAACGAGAAAAGTAAAAAAACTTTATGCATTAATTAACAATATTATTACAAGCACCTGGAAGGTGACGGATGCAAGGGGAGCAGCCATTCCCCTGTACAGATGCCGGAGACCATCGGAGCCGACAGCCTGACGGAGAATGCTGAAGGCAGAGCCCGCTCCGGATTGCTGCTGCCGGATTCTGAGCGTGTCAAGGGGATATCCGGCAATGATTCCGGCCGTTCCGCCGAACCCTCCGGCCACAAACTCTTTCCCCCAACTGCTCGCAAGAAACTCCGGCCAGAAATCCATCTCTCCTCACCACCATTCACTATATTTCCGTTTTAAACGATATATAGATATTTATTTATACAAGCTGCGAAATTGCATTCGTGGGGGAGAATTTGAAACTGATTTTAAAATTTGAATGAATGACTGGGTTCGGCAATGATAAGGAAAAGTCTCGTCAGATTTTGGGTGGTGAGTTTTCTCTTGCTTATCTTTACCGTTGGACAGTAGTGTGTAAAAACCATGGAAGTTAGGTGGGTAAATTGTTTATTTTTTTATTTAATGAAAATTAACCGTGCAGCAAGGAAATGTTATTCCATGATTCTTGAAAATTTATACGGAGTAAATAATATGGTAACACTTAAATGTTTTGAATTGGTTGGTTCAGTTGAAATTTATGAATTTCTGACTGAACTGGCTGTATCGGCTGATTCTATTGTTTTATGAAAAAAATTATATTTAAAATATATTTTATTAATGAAATAAAGAAAAAAAATATGAAAAATAGCTAAAATGATCATCTACAGATACTCAGCCAACGCAATCAGAAAAGTAATTTCAGTCTTACTTTTTCTTATTATTACACATTCTGCGTTTGAAATAAAAAATTACGTGTTTGGTTAAAAAGTTGATCGATAAGTCGAAAAACAGACTCATCAAACGGGTTTTGTGTTGAATGTTTGTACACGTTTTGTGTATTTACATTGTGTGATTTTTGCACTCATTCTTTTTGTTTGTTTGTGCCACATACAAAAAAATGTAGTTGCAAAAAACAATATTTTTGACTTTACAAAATGAAAAAGCAGAAATAATCCAACATGACCGGTAATAAGATGGCGTGTAAACAAATCAGGATTGCATGGAAAATACATATCGACTTGCAGTTGGGAGGTGGAAGAGGAAATGGCGAAACATGAAACATCTTCCTCCGACGCGGGCCCCAGATCACCACGTACCTAAATAACATACATGCATTTCATTTCCACCCAAAAACATCGTTTTCGCGGCCCTGCCTCCTTACATTTGTCAGAATCTGTTTTTTACATTTTCTTCGTTAAACAAATGATTTTAGACAAAGTAAGCTTAGCACTTTGGCCAAAATTCTGCGAAAAGATAAACACTTGGCCATTCTGCAAAAAGGTTTGAACTCAGAAAAGGTTGGCCAATGGCCACTCCCGCTTCACGTCCGAAAAACAATTTTACTGCTTCCTATTAAAACTTCCAACTTTTCTTTTTCTTCTGTTCTAATTAAAACTTCCACTTTCCCTTTTTAGTAAAGAATTTGTGGTTCACAACATTTCTTACACATTTTTCTCTCTTCAGCACAACTCTTCATCACGCCATATTCACTATCTTAAATTGTGTGCCAAACCTATTTGGAAGATAAAATAGGAACGGAGGGAGTACTTGTTTTACTATGAGTCCAGCTCCTCTCCATTTCTTTTTTTCTTCCCATTCATCTCTACCTTTTTATCTATCTTACTCACCAACCTACCCCACCTTAAATTTTCTCCTCTCTATATCTTTTCTAATGTAACTCTCCCGTCATTGGAGAGGATCCAAATTCATTTAATACGTACTACCTCCGTCCCTTAAAACTTTGTCAAAGTTGACCGGCACGGAGAATAATAAAGTAAAAACTGTGTGGTTGAGGTTTGTGGAGAGTACAGAAAAATAACAGAAAACACAAAATAATTGATTAAAAAAGAAAGTGACAAAGTTTTTTGGGACGTCCCAAAAAAAAATGATGGCAAAGTTTTAAGGGACGGAGAGAGTATTATTTAGGTTCTTCAATAGTTCCCTCTTAGTCAACATCACGAACACAAATTAGTAGAGATGGACAAATTGGTTTTCGTTTTGGTTTTTTTAGCTCGATTTGATTTGGAATATGTTGAGAGAATTATTCTTAAATCATACTCCCTCCGTCCCGGTCATTTCTTCCGGTTTTGACCGGTATCGCAAATTTAGGTAGTGAGAATAAAGTGAAAATGTATGGTTGTAGTTGTGTAAGAAAAAAGTGAATGAATGTGAACACATATTTTTTCCAAAAGTGGAAGTTGGAAGAATTAATTGGGACGGCCCAAAAAGGAAAGTTGGAAGAATTTACCGGGACGGAGGGAGTACTATTTTCTGGTATGATTCAGTTCGATTTAGTTCGATTTGAATTTGTTATTTTTTTAAATAATATATGAAGGTTTTATTGAATTTCTTTAGTTCGGTTCAGTTTAGTTCGATTTTTATAGATTCCAGTCCTGTTTGGTTGCATATGGTCCGGTTTCTATTCAATTTAGTTCGATTTGCATTGGTACGGTGCGATTCCATTAAACCAAACCAATATGTTCACCCCTACAAATTAGCACGGCCGGCCCAGGGGAGGGAGAACCAGCCCATTGCCCGAGGCCTCAAAAAAGTGAGGGTCCAAAAACAATTAGTACTAGTATTACTTCTCTATAACATGGCCGGTGAGAGTCTATACCAAATTACCAATTAAATAGATTTATCTTTGAGGATAAATTATGAGATTGAGAAAGATAAATGTATTTAATTGGTTATTCTCCTCAAAATTTAAATAAAAACAATACTTTGCTAAACAAAAATAATTTATTCCAAAGTTTTTAGCAGTTTTTTGGGTCAATTTTTGTGATATTGATTCAGTAAATAATAAATCTATTTTTCTCATGATGTTGGTTTAGTATATTTATTAACTACATGGATCCAACATTCTTCTTTATCTCACTGTTTGAATTAAAGTGTTTAAAATAGAAACAAATGTGATTTACCATGAAATAGTAGATCAATGGTTTTGATTATTTTATACTTTTATGAAAATATTTCAAATAATGAACATTTTGATATAACTTTTATATTCAAAACATTTTGGATTAAAATATATAATTTGTCAAAGTTGATTGTCATTTCCTAAGAAAAGTCAATTTGATGAAATTTTTTGGGATGAAGGGAATATAAATCATTTTTCTCGTAATAAAATCAGATATCTCAAAATAACTAATTTACTATGAAATAGCAAATCAATGGTTTTAATTATTACTCCCTCCGTCACGGATAGAACTTGACATTTGCTTTTGGCACGATAACTTTGGAGCTCAATTAATAGAAGAACAAATGTGTTGCATACCCTTTAACTTTTGGGAGGATTTAATGATATCCACTCAAATGTAAAAAGTGGGTAGGTAATGAAGGTTAGTTAGGACATTTAATGTAAAAAAAGTTGCCTAAAAAGGAAATGTAAAAAAGTAAATGGGACGTCCCCAAAAGGAAAGTGTATAGATTTAAATGGGACGGAGGGAGTATATTTTTATAAAATTTAACAATTTTATACTTTTATGAAAAAAATTCAAATATTGAACATTTTGATATAATTTTCATATTCAATACATTTTAGATTAAAAAATATAATTGGTCAAATGTTAGTATCATTTACTAAAAAAAATCAATGTAATGAATCTTTTTTGGGGATAAAGCGAGTAGATTTTTTGGGGATAAAGCGAGTAGATTTTTTTTTCATTAACTTATTATAATGATTTTAGGGATACAATATAATGATTTATATTTTTGAGTACATAAGTTGTCAATTATCACAAATACGGAGTAGGTGAATGTTGGTTTAAATTTTTTTTATTTATTTTGGAAGAATATTGGTTTAAGGTTGACCTTAGAGTATTATTCAAAATTATTTTTCTCCTAAAAATAAGCAAGTGTATGCAAAACAGAGTACACAAGACACTTATTACGGAAGTCCAATCCATATAAAATACAGACAAGCCCACAATGAAGAATCCAATCAATATAGGGCTATAGGCTATATTTTTACAACCATTCTTGATGTACACACTCTTGTACACACCTTATACACACCATGTTTGTGAAGCTTTTTTTTTATCTGTGAATCCGGTTCACAGACAATATTTTGTTTGTGCAAAACATTGTCTGTGAATCGATGTTCACAGACAAAAAAAAACTTTCACAGACATAGGTGTATACAAAAGTGTGTATAAAAGTGTGTACAAACATCATTTTTGATATTTTTAAGGGTTGTCCGACACTTTTAGATGGTTCATTTACCTCCTCCGTAGACTTCTCAATACATCACCTACCAGCGCCGCACCATAACCCAGTGCCCCATCGGCTACGCTACTGACCAAATTACGGCCTACCTTCGCCGCATCTCATAACGTAGCGCCCCATCGGCTAAGCCCGCAGATCCACTGGTTTGTAAAATACCATCTACTATAACTATGTATTGATTTTCATTTTCTGGTATGTCTGTATCAGTAAAATATTTCCCTACATATTAGGTAATGTATTAGATACTCCCCCGTCCCTGAATTATCTTCAAACTTTCATTTTTCGTCCGTCCCAAAATTATCTCCTCCTTCCCTTTTTGGCAAAGAATTTGTGGTTCACAATCATTCTTACACATTCTTACGCATTTCTCTCTCCTCTGCACAACTCTCCACCACACAAAACACACTATCTTAATAAGTGTGCCCAGCCGAAATGGGAGATAAAACAGGGACGGAGGGAGTAGTAATTTTAATATTAAAATTACATTTATATATACTACGTATAATTTAATTTCTGTTTTTTAAAGTTGAACAGATTCCGTAAGTTATGTGATTCTGGACTATCTTTATAAAATATATGCCTACGTGTTGCTTTCACTTAGATATGTCTATGAAACTAAATAACTTTTCTATCTATGAGAATATCTCTAATCATTCAACTATATTGAGTTTTTTAATTCGATTAAAATTTTATTTGTAGTAATGCTAGCTATTGAAATTATATTTAGATTTTAGTTTTACGGTTGATATATAATGAAGATTTATATATATGTACGTGCATAAAGGATATGATCGACGTGGAGATGAGTCACATGCAATATACGCTGGCATAACTGATGTAACTAATTAGTTAGAATAGTAGTTGAATATAGTTACATATACGTATATGTTTGTACGTATCGATAGCTATAGCGTATAATTCTTCTTTGTATAAATACTCTAAGGAGAGCTGTAATTAGATTCAAGTTGAATAAAATTCTTCTTTCCAAAATTCTGAAATGGTATCAGAGCGTTGAAAGCTTCCCACCGTATCTTCTTCTTCCGCCATGGCTCAGGAAGCAGTAAATCATCAATCGAATCAGAGTTCACTGCAGAATGAAACAAATCCGTTATATCTTCATCACGCT